AGCTGAACACACCGCACGTACGACACTGGTGTGAGAACGTACATTCACAAGTATGCGAGGCACACACATGATGTACGCGGGTAATGTTAGGTGTGTGTGTCTGTGCGTCTGTGCGTCTGTGTGTCTGTGTCTGTGTCTGTGTGTCTGTGTGTGCCTGTGTGCGTGTTTCCGTGCCACCACGTGCTGTTGATATACCTACCTCATCAAACAACGATGTGACTTGCTGTAGCTGTGGCTCATCGCATTGCGTCAGCGCCCTGTGGTCATGCAATGCAAGGTGATGTGCGGTTAATTCTGAAGAAACTGGCAAACGCACCCACACGCACGAATACACCCACACGCACACAAAGACACACATACACATATGCACACAACAAGCAACATGTACAGCGGCAGCAAGTGCAAAGATAAGGACCACGCGTACATGATCCACGTGGACACGGCACTCCGCGTCAGTGGCAGCTGCTTGATGTTGAGGGCGGACAGGAAGTTCACGGCCTGTTCACAGCATGCAGTACACATGTAGTGGGGATGTGAGTCAACCACCCCACACATACACAAAAAAATGCAAGAGTGTGTTGCCTTTTGAAACGCTCAACACACCATGACCGCATAAGGTGCGCATGCAATGATGGTCCGTGATGAGGACCTTGTTGGGTTGGCCGAAACGGAGGTGCTTTCGTGCGAGAATGATGAATGTTTGAGCGTCTGCTTCAATTCCTTTGTCGCTCATGTCTGCAAAGGGGGTTAATGTTGACACAACACACACACACACCACATACACACACGCCACACGCACGCAGTGGACATCAGTGAGGAGGAAAGTTTAGCCATGCCATCCAGCAACAAGGCACAATCACGTGGAAATATGGGTTTGTCAGGCAGTGGAAGACAAGCGAACCACCAACAGGATTTACAAACAGCCATTTAGTGTGCCATGTCACCACCACCACCACCACTCCTAGTCATGCATCAACACCAGCACCACGCACTGAAACCAGACGCAACTTCGCGTGTCCTTGTCACCTTGCAGGAGCCTGTGAACCTCCGCCAGCTCGTCCTCGGTAGAGACCGCAGCAAACATGGCGTTGTAGAAGGACAGCACGGGCTTCTGCCCCATCTGCATCATCTGATGAGGCGGAATTGGCAGTTGCACGGACAAGGCGTGGTTGAGCTGTGATGATGGCAATGGCGGTGCTGGTCACAACCAACACACCAAGAGAATGTACACACACGCACACACACGCGCACACACACACGCACGCACACACACACACGCACGCACAAAACCTACAATGTCGACAGTCTTCTTGGTTGCGCCAAAGTTTCCGACGTGACTGAAGGCGGCGGCGATGCGCTTGAACGCTTGGCGCGACATGTACACGCCAGCCGTCTTCAGCGCAACAAAGGAACTGCGGCAGGAACACACCACCACATTAGGGGAGGTTGAAAGGCAGGCGATGGCAAGGGGAAAAGGGGGGTGAGACAATGGATGAAATGGATTGCGGTATGTGCATATTGAGTATCGCGGACAGCACGAAGCGCGACCATATTCCATATTCACCATCAATCATCAGTGATGAACACAACTCGCTCTCCAACCCTCTTCGGACCGCACGCATGCACATGATTGCACGCACATTCCCACAAGTACAGTTGCATGTCTGCACACACACACACACACACACACACACACACACACAAATCCAACAACTGCTCTCGTGCTTCCACAGCTTCCATGTCACCGCCCCCACATCTGCACCACGCACTCGATGAGCCGGGCAATGTCGCCCGTGTTGCTGATGGCCGCCAGGAACTGCGCGTGCACAGCAGGATCAACCCGCACATTCTCCCGCATCACTGGTAAATGCAGCGCACTGGTGGTGGTGATGGTGGTCGTGGTCGTGGTGAGAAGAGGGAAAACAATGGTTTGGTTGTGACATGCGGTGGGAAAACAGGAAAACAGAAGAACAGAAGCAGAAGCAGAACTTTGCCGTTCCTGCATCGCCGCCCTCAAGGAAGGATAAAGTGCACATGTACGCGTGATGCAATCCGTGTGCGGACGTACGCAATCTGCTGTGCTGTTGGCGCCATCGCCGTCAATTGTTGGAGCGACGTCTGCACAAGATCGCCAAGATGCACCCATCCGCCCACCTTCGCAGCCTGCAGCACCTGTTGTGTTGCGTATGTGTGTGTGTGTTGTGTGTGTGCGTGGGTTGTGTGCGCGCACGTCAGCATATGTGCGTGTGTGTGTGTGTGTGTCTTCATCAGCGTGCGTATCTTCCCAAAGATACAATTGTTTGTGGGTCCCGAAATGGACACCTGAGACAATGTTTTCACTCACCTGCTGGACGGCGTTGTCGTCCTCGGCAGTAGCAAGACGCTGCAGCACGGCCGCCATCACTTGCACCTGCACAAGTGCACAAGCCACACACATGTACACGTACACACACACACATGTACACGTACACACACATGTACACACACGTACACACACACA